AAGGAGAAATCAGTTCAGTGGGGAATGATCACAAGTGAATCAGAGTTCGCTGGTGTAGCAGGAACTGCTGGGTAGGGTCACACTGGGAACTATTGCTGAGCTCGCCTGGACAGTAACTACCATTGGCTGAATTCAACCCACTTCATGGCAACAATTTACATTCCTGGAGCACCAGGATCTGGCGTTAGAACGTCCAAGGCACTAGGCCAGAACCCACCGCTCTACGGTCCCTTCGCGGCTTCTCTGTTCTTAGGCTGGTTTGTTGTATCTTGAGCCATCCCCTTGCGCCGTCTCTGTTTGCTGCTCTGAGTTCCAGCTCAGATACCTGCAGCTATTTCTCCAGGCGATGGGTCGGCTTCTCAGTGGAACAACTGTCCCTCCGCTGCTTTATCTAGAGTCCCTTTGATCTCGGACAACTTCTCTCTTCCTGTCGCACCTGAAGGTTCTGGGCGGACGTTTTGTCCGCACTATTTGCTTTACTTTCGCTACAGCTCACTTCCTCCTCATTTCTCCAGCCCGTTTCTCTTTGCTCACAGCTGGTTTCTGTCACATTTCATTTGTGCTTTAGTTCTCCTGCGGTTTTCTTACTTCTCTTGTGGTTTTCTAACAATTTCTTAGGTAACTTAGAGACTCTTTTTCCTTCGTGTTTCACTGCCTGGTTCTTCCTTTAACTTTCCCCCTCATGCCTCTGTCTTTCCTCTGTCTGCCTCCTCCTGTTCCTGCCATCTCTGTCCCTTCTCATTGGGACTTTCTCCCTGCCAGCTCTGTGCCTGGCCCCTTCGATGACACAGCTTGGCCACCAGGTCCCTTTCTACTAGCTCCCCACTCGCTGAGTCCCTGCATTGCTGGTGCCGGTTGTTACCTCAATGGCTGCTGGTGTCTCTCTCCCGGTGCTGGACACCCTCCCTCCAAACTCTACCAGCCATTTCCAGCAGGCGGGGGAGGAGCTGCTGTCTCCTGTCACCTGCTGTTTTCTATCTTCCCCCACCACAGAAAATATCGCCCCAGGCTCAAGCTCCCCCCACTTCCGCTGCCTGAGAATCCTTGGGGTTCTCCCCACAGCTGTGAGCTGCCACTTCGTGCAACTCCCACTGCTCTGTAACCTGACAGCCTCCAGCCCAGGTGGGCATCACACAGCCAGCCCTGGAATGCTGTGAATGGGGCCGCTGATCTGAGCCCCTCACCTGATATCACCAGCTCCACGGGGTCGCTGGGCTCCGACCAGACGGGTGGATCCCACTTGGTCCTATATTGGCAGCTGTAGCTCCCTGCGTCTCCTCGGCTCACATTGCGGATGGGAAACGCAGCCACGTCCCCTGGTGGATCCATCGAACGCCGTGCGTCCGGGTCTCCAGCTTTACTCAGAAGGACCCTCACTCCCGCACACCGACACTCACACCGGATGGTCACGGCTTCCCCCAGGGTGACCTGCGCACTGGGGTGCAAGGAGATGTTGGGTTTGGGGTAGCTGGGCTCTGCAGGCAGGAGGAGACAGGCCGTGAGACACAGACCCCAGCACGGTCACAGACACAGACCTCGGCTTAGACTGCGAGTGGGAAACTCAGCCATGTCCCCGGCAGCACATTCCAGTTTCCATCTTTGTACTGAAACTCACTCACGTTGTGGTGCCGACTCCAACACTGGATGATCACAGCTCCCCCCCAGGGCACTATCCCCACTACGTCACACGGCCACCTGGCAGTGTCAGCCTGGCTCAGGGCCTTAGAGGATTGGCCGGCTAGTGGCTACAGCAAAGGACTGAGATCTAGGATAATATCCCCAGCTCCGGGAGGAGAGTGGGGTCTTGTGGGTTAGAATGAAGGGGGCTGGGAGCCAGGACTAGGGGAGTGGGGTCTAGTAGGTTACAGCAGGGGATGCTGGATGCCAGGACTCCTGGGTTCTCTCCCTGGCTCTGGGAGGAGAGGGGGGCCTAATGATTAGAGCAGGGGGTGGGGTTTGGGATCAGAGGTGCTGGGTGCTGCACAAACGTGCAGTGAGAAACAGCCCCTGCCATAAAGCTGAACCCTGACTATAAATAGACCCTGCAGGCACCTCACTGCATCTACACAGGAAACCTGTGGAACGGGTTCTGATCTCAGCCCCCCGGGGGTCGATCCGGAGTCACCCCTGACTGCACTGGGGGCAGGGCCAGGTTCTGATCTCAGCCCCCCAACGTCAATACAAGGAGGTTGAACTGAGTTTTGGGGTGAAGGTTCATGGCTCAGCTCCTCTTTTCCTCTCCCCCTTCCCGTTCAGCCCCCATCTTTAACACTAAATTTCCCCCTGCCCCACAGATACTCACGTCCCAACACTCCGCTCCACCCGGCCAGCCAGCAGCCTGGAAAGGAGATGTGTTGTTAGGGACCAGATCCCAAAGCAACTTGATCCTATACCCTGGTCTCAGATCCACCGTGCCCTCCCTCCCCCCTCACGAGCACACGCTCTGGTCTCAGATCCCCCCTCCCCCATGGGCACACACCCTGGCTGTCTCCGATACTCACCAAGGAAGAGGATGGTGAGAGCAGACGCCATGACGGGGCAGTGGGGGGGCCCCTCAGTGCTGCCACCAACACCCCAGTGCCCAGCTCCACCCAGTCTGAGGCCCGAGTGCGAGCTGAATGCGGAACTGCGCCAGGGGCTGCTGCCCCAGGAAGCCCGTGATGCGCTCAGCCCCTTTCTTCCCATCAGCTGGTTTCTCCGCAATCTCCAGCCCAAATCTACCACGGTCAGAGCAAAACCAGCTCCCTGTGACACCCAGCAAACCACATCCCGTCCTGCAGGTGGTTGGACTCCCCGCCCCCATCATCCCCCAGCCCCATATGGGAGCTCCCCAGTCCAGGAACCAGCTGGGAATGGGGCAATCTCAGGAGGCATCAAGAGATACCCAGGCTGCCCTGACCTTTTCAATGGGCCCGTCCAACTTCCCTGGAGCTGCAGCTCAGAGCAGAGGAGGGCACCCCACGGAGAGACCCTCTCCCATGGAGTGAGGCAGAGATTCCCCGCCCTGGAGCATGACGGTTGTTACCAGATTTGCCCCTTACTTTGGGGTTCACTCATTTATTAGGGTTACTTTTCTGGAGGGGGGAGGGGGTTCTGTAATTCTATCAGTGTGCTGCTTGTGTCACTTGTGTTCTCACACAGAGCTCTACTTCTCCCTGCTGCAAGTCCCCTCCCAATGGAGCAGGATCTCGGTTCCCTTGGGCTGGGTTCTTCCAGCCCCAGAATCAGATGAACACACACAGACACACACACACACCAACAGGGCGCATCTAGATGACCGGGTTACTCAGCACTCCCAAGGTGACCCCTTCTATGCCCCTGGACTCAGCGGGCTCGGTCGAGCAGCATTTTCAGGCGGTCACCCTCATATGCCACGGGCACCACACTGGAACAGAGCACACCTGAGCAGACTGGGTCGAGTAGCACTTTCAAGCTACAACCCTCATATGTACCAGGTTCAGCACGTCCCTATCCCCATTTCCACGTCACAGTTGTTCTGGTAGTAACCCACGTGATGAGCAAAGCCCACAGGATCTTTGGACGCTGCCGGGATCTTTAGCTTAGTTAAGAGGAGCGTTGCTGCAGGGCGAGTGGGGAAGCCAAAAAACACCCAAGACGGGGAGAGAGAGAATCAACCAGCTTAACCATGAAAGTTTTTTATTGCCAGATAATAACCATAGGGGAGCCAAACAAACAAAACAGTTATAATGATAAATCAAACCTAAATTTGATTATGAAAGGTTTAGAAAATTATAACTGATCACACACGTCAGGGTCAGAAGGCTACACCTAGAGAGAGAGAGAGAGAGCTGAGTTCTCACCACTCCGTGAAGCTTGACTCGATCGGGGGTCCCAGGTGGTGGTGGTAGCTGAGGGTCCGGAGTGCTGGAGACAGGCAGAGCTCCCCGCACGATCAGTCAGGAGAAGATGACATCCCAATGGAACTGATGCAGAGTTTGGATCCAGGCATCAGAGCACTGACTTGAGCGTGGGAAGGGGTTTGTGTAGGGCAAGAACAATGGTTCGAGGGAGACACTAGGTGTGTTTGTGAGTAAATTGATGGCTCAAGGGAGAAGACCAAAGTTGTTTTGTTCAGGCTACACAACAGGAGCTGATCATTCCTGGCCATGGATGGTGCTCCTTGGAGGGAGCTCACAGTGCAGTTAGGGAGCTTCAGTATTTTGGATACCAATAAAGGATTCATTACTAGAATTGGTCTGATAACTGCTGAGCTGGGGGTGGGCAGGTGTGGGCTCATTAACATCTGGAGCAGAGATCCCCCATCATGCCGTGCTTCCCTGATCCCAGAGTTCAGTGCGGTTCTTGCCTTGGAATCTCCGGTCTCCAGTCTGTAGCTGATGGAGATGCCTCCTTGTCCCATCTTCCATGCAGATGAGGCCAGGGGAGTTTCCTTATCCTGTCACCCTTGTCCCAGGGGTTTCGGTGGGTCTCCCACGGACTTTCCATTGCTTTTTGTAAGTCTTTCTTCTGATTGGTTTTGGTGCAAGCTGTCACGGAGTATTGGGGGACTCAGGGCCCTGCACCCCCGGCTTCCTGCGATTCACCATGACTCTCAGCCAGCCAGTAAAGCAGAAGGTTTATTTGGATGACAGGAATACAGTCCAAGACAGGACTTGCAGGCACAGACAACACGGCCCCCCTCAGTTCGGTCCAGCTTGGGGGCCCAGGGCATGCCAGCCCACCCCCCTTGGGGGGTCAGAGCCATCTCTGCCTCCCAGCCATCTCTCCAGCCTCCTTCCCGCCTGCTTCCAGCACTCTGCCTTCAGCGACCCCTCCCACAGCCTTTGTTCAGTTTCCCGGGCCCCGGAGTCATCTGACCTCCAACCCCCTCCTGGGTTCTCATGTTACAAGCTCAGGTATGTTCCCTTGGGCCGGCTCCCATCCCCCGATGCAGACCATCCTAGTCACACTCCCCTGTCAGCATTCACACACCCCAGCAAGAACAGTCCCAGTTCGTCACACAAGCAGAGGCTGGGGGGGGGCGAAGGTCTTTCGTGAGTCAGACAGGCTGGGTACTGCACCCTGGTTCCCTGAGAACACAGAGCTGATAGGGAACAGGGTGGAGGGGTCTGGCCAACCTCCTTCGCAGGTACCGTCGCTGCAGATGCTGTTCTTAGCGCAGTGGTGTGAGACAGAGACGGGACAGAGGGGGGAGGGTTGTGGTTTCCAGCCCCCGTAATCGGACAGGGGAGGGTTAAATTTAGATCCTAAGTTGCAAAAGAAGCAGCCAAGAAATGCATGAAAAGGGGAAGTGTGGCCAGAGCAGGCGCTCGCTTGCTGATTCTGCTAGTGCCTGGGAAACTCAGCGTAAACCTGATTCCCCGGCAGTGACCCTGTAATATACCCCGGCTCTGGGAGGGGACTGGGGTCTAGTGGTTAGAGCAGGAGGGCCCTCCCCAGCTCCTCCCCAAGCGATCCCATCTCCTCCAGGTGTGACACACACTTCTGGTGCAGGGACAGAGGGGCTGTGGGGTGCCTGGGGAGCTAGTTTGTGGTTCTGTGTTTATTACAAATCTGGAGATTAACAGGATGCAAAATAACATAAAAGCTGCCTCTATGCGTCCCCTCCCCCTCCCGTACTGAGCCCTCCCAGCCCCCCATACGTGGTTCTGGGTGCGGGAGGGGGACAGCAGTTCGATGGGACGGGGCTACAGTGTGGGCGGCAGCATCCTCCCTAAATCTTCCCTAGAAGCAGAGTTCTCTGGGGCTGGAGGTGAGTCTGTTGCCCCCTGGGCACCGGTGTCCCGTGGCTGCGGGGGTCTCTCACTGCGGGGGCCCTGGCTCACGTTGATCGCGGCGTATGCACTGGCCTGGGGGGGCTCATGAGCAGGGGCTGGGACCCCCCACTTGGCATGCAGCACCTGGCGGTCCAGCTCGACGTAGGTGAGTCCATCGGCGCCGGGTTCCGGCTCCTTGGGCTGGGAGGGGAGAAAGTCACTGCTCTGTGTGTGTATGTGTGTGTGTGTGTGTGTGTGTGTACCTGCCCCACACACAGAGCAGGGCCCATCACCTCCAGCAGGGGGAACGGGGACACACACGCACCCTGAAATCCCAGCTGGCGATCCCATAAGCCTACACCCCTCCCAATATCCCACCCACCCCAAACCACTGAGTGTGCCAGGAAAGGGGGGGCTGTGAGGGGGCTGCCGGGGCCCATCCAGGTCAAGATTGGGGTCAGGCCCCATGGGGGTACAGGGGACACTTACCAGGGTCTGCAGATCTTTCCGTTCATGGATGGAGACATCTGTGGAACAGAGACACCCGCTGAGCTGCACCCCCAGTGACCCAGAGCAGAACCCCCAAACCCAGCTCCGACCCCTCTGTCCAGCCAGGGGGGTCAGAGCCCAGCACAGCCACCCCTTGACCGCCCCACAGCATGGGCCAGGGTCATTAGCCACATGTTACAGAGAGGAAAACTGAGGCACAGAGACAGCGGCAGAGTCTAGGGGGTTATGGCAGGGCGGGTGGGGGGCTGGGCATCAGAACATCTGTGTTCAATCCCCGGCTCTGGAGGGGAGTGGGGTCTAGTGGTTAGAGCAGGAGGCTGGGAGCCAGGAGTGGATGGGGATTCCCCAGAGGTCACTGGCTGGGAAGGTCCAATGGAGAAGTGAAGGGAAGACCCCCAAAGCCCCAGGCCTGGCGGAGAGAATGGGGGGCACACAGAGGGAGACCCTGAACTAGGGGGGGAGGGGAGGGTGACCCCAGGGAGTTGGTGGGGAGGGAGGCAAGAAGCTCAGCTGACACTGGCTACGTCGGGGACCCTCTCCTTAGTCCCATCCAGCAGCAGTTGTAAATCAGGCCCTGCCCCATGTGGGGGAAGCCCCCACAAGCCCCTCCCCTTCTCAAGGTATGTGCCCCACTCTGGTACCCCTTGAGTGTGTTACTCACAGTCGGGGTCTCCCTGATCTGGGGCCTTTGACACCCACAAAGGACTGGAAATAAAAGAAAGAAAATCCTGTTGTAAATGTCATATCCCCCCACCCACAGGAAGATTTCCCAACACACCCAGAGAGCCCCCAATTCTGCCTCATACTGAACCCTGTTCCCTAACCCCCCCCCCGCCACAACCACTAGACCCCACTTCCCTCCTAGACCAGGGAGAGAAGCCAGGAGTCCTGACTCCCAGCCCCCCGTGCTTTAACCACTAGACCGAACTCCCCTCCCCGAGCTGGGACAGAACCCAGGAGCCCTGTGACCCAGGCAGGTCGATTGGGAGGGGGGAGGAGCCGGGTTCCTACCTGCTCAATCTTTTTGCAGATCGTCTTCCTGCAGAGGGACACAAACCAGAATCCCCCATGAGCCGATTGGGATCCCCCAGTACCAGTGCCCGGCACTCACAGGGCAGTAGGGATGCAGGTGCCAGGGGATGTCCCCTGTGTTGCTGGTGCTGAATGTGGAGCGTGTGGGCCAGACCAGCAGGGAGCAGCTCAATACCATAGCATGCACCGGGGGGAGGGGCAGATTAACTCGGGAGGGGGGCTTTTCCTATCCCCAATCCTCCCTCGTTAGTGACTCATTATAACAAATCTGATTCACAGGCCAGTGGCTCCCCTGGCACCCAGGGACACCTCGCTCAGTGCTGAGATGCAGCCACCTCTGGGGTGGGACAGATGTATGTACAGGGATTACACATGCAACAGCACCCTCTGTTGAGCCCCCCCACTCCTTGGCTTTCCCAGCACAGTCTCTCATCCCAGCCGTGACCCCATCCCACCCTGCTTAGCGGCAGGTTTAACCCTTCCCTCACTAGGTGGAACACTCACTGGCTCGGGTTTTTCTGAAGCGGACGAAGGCCACGAGGAGGAGGAGGAGGATGGCAGCTGCCACGCTCACCCCGGCGACGATGGGGCTGGTCAGATCCGGAGGTTCCGATCCACCTGGGAAACAGCAGCAGCTGTGAGTGCCGGGAGCGGCTGGTCTGTTCCCCCCCCCAGCCCCTCCCACCCCAGGCAGCGCCCAAGGAGCAGAGGCAGCAGGAAATTCTGTGGGGAGGATGTTGGGGGGTCCTGGGGAATCAAGTGGGGTCAGAGCAAGCAAGATTTGGGGGATTTAGGTGCTGGGGGTGCTGGATTGCAGGGGGTTCCATAGGGGGCACTCTCCCCTGTGAGTCAGGCCTCACTGCTCCTGAGAACAGTCTCCTGATACCAGTCAGCTCTGTGTTCTTGGGGAACCAGGGCACAGTATCCAGCCTGACTCATAAAACACCCCCCCCCCACACACACACACACCAGTCTCTGCTTGAACCCAAGCGGATCAGAGAAAAGACTTGCAGAGAGCAGTGAAGGGTGGATGGGAGACACACCTAGACCCCTCCTGACAAGGGTGACAAGATTGACTTCTCCCTTAGCAGATAGAATGGAGAACAGAGGCCACTCCCCTAGCCTCATCTGCATGAAAGATGGGACAGGGAGACATCTCCATTAGCATACAGACTGGAGACCAGAGAACCACACTGAACTCTGGGACCAGGGAAGCAGGGACGCATTGCATCATGGGGGATCTCTGCTCCAGATGTTAATGAGCCCACACCTGCCCACTCCCAGCTCAGCAAATCAGACCAATTCTAGTAACGAATCCTTGATTGATATCCAAATACTGAAGCAGCCGAACTGCATTGTGAGCTCCCTGGAAGAAAACACCCCCCATAGCCAAGAGTGATCAGCTCCTATTGTCTAGCCTAAAGGAAACCCTGTGTTATCAGTTTACCTATAAACAAATCTAGTGTCTCCCTTCAACCATTGTGGTTTCTCTACAAAACCCCCAACCTATGCCCAAGTCAGTGTTCTGATGCCTGGACCCAAACTCTGCAGCAGTTCCACTGGGATTTCATCTCCTGATTGATCGTGCTGGGGGCTCTGTCTGTCTCCTGCCCTCAGGACCCTGAACTACCACCATCACCTGGGAACCCCGACTAGTTCAAGCCTCATGGAGTGGGTGAGATCCCTCCCTCTCTCTCTTTCTGTTTTCTTTTCTAACTCAAGTATTAACCTTTAATACTGTAACTGTTATGTTGGTTTAGGCTCCTTGTGTGGTTATCACTATTATTCAATAAATGACTTGTATGGTTAGGTTGGTTGCTTCTCTCCCTCTCTGAACTTTACTCTTTTGTGTTTTTAGCTTCCCCATTTACTCTGCGACAACGCTTCTTTTACCTAAGCTAAAGATCCCTGTAGCGCCAAAATCCTGTAGGGTTTGCTCATCACGTGGGTTACTACCAGTACAATCGTGACGTGAAAGTGGGGATAGGGACATGCTGAAGCTGTGGTATATAAGGGGGACAGCTTAAAAGTGCTGCTTGACCCCGCCCACTGAGTCCAGGGACATATATAAGCAGTTTGAGAGAGCTGATTGACGCGATCCGCTCAGAGTTGCTCTGTTAGTGTGTGTGTGTGTCTGCATGTGTGTGTGAGAGAGAGATTCTGGGGCTGGAAGAAGCCAGCCCTGGGGAACCGAGGTCCTGCAGGACAGCTCCATTGGGAGGGAACTTGCAGAAGGGCGAAGTAGAGCTCCATATGAACATACAAGTGACACAAGCAGCACATTGATAGAATTACAGAACCTCCCCCCTCCCCAGAAGAGAATAATAAATGAGCACACCCTAAAGTAACGGGCACATCTGGTAACACTCTGTCACCCCGGGCAACCACTGGGTGAAGCTGCCCCATAATCTGTGACTCAATAGATTCCCTCCAGCCCCAGTACCTGGCCCTGTGTTGCCGGAAGCCGGCGCTGCTCCAGACTGGGTCGGGTCGGTTCCCCCTGCAGGAATAGAACCAGTGTCCGTCAGGATGGGGAAGGGGTTGAAACAACAACTCAGCCATTCCCATCCCCCATGACTCAGCATCGATCATCACTGTCATTCTGGGGGGAGGGGGATTTTCGGAACTGGGCGCCAGTACCAGCTCGGCAGCCCTTGGGCCCCAGTCCTCTGGGGGAGCATCCCCCTGGGAAAGGCCCCTGCTCTGCAGCTCCCCCTGGGGGTAGGGCCGTGTTCCCTCTCATTTGTTACATCCATGTGTGGAATTAATTTTGTTACCTGCACAGAGAGGTGATGTGTGGAGGGGGTGGGGCCGAGGGGTTCGGGGTGTGGGAGGGGCCTCAGGGCTGGGGCAGAAGGTTGGGGTGCAGGGGGGTGAGGGCTCCAGCTATGGGTGGGGGCTCTGGAGTGGGGCTGGGGTTGAGGGGTTTGGGATGCAGGCTGCCCCAGGGCTGCGGCGGGGAGAGAGGACTCTCCCCAGCCCTCTCTCGCTGCAGCAGCCCGGGGCCGGTGGAGAGGTGCCTCTGCCTGGCCGCGGCAGCTTAGAGGAAATTTAGGGGCAGGGATCCCCCCTCCCTCGGCCCCTAATCTCCAGCAGTTGCTGCTCCCCCCTAGCTAGGGACCCCCCAGTGACTCCGTCCCCTCTCCCTAGCCAGGCGTCCCCTCTGCTGAGCCCAGGTCTCAGGGCAGAGCCTGGCTCTGAGCATCCCATTGGTGCAGAGACCTCCTGAGGGTCCGTCTGGGTGTGGGGCTGGGAGCTGGGCTGCTGAGCCGGACTCCTCACCTGCTACCACCAGCTGCACAGTGTCGCTGGGCTCTGAGGAGACGAAGGGCTCTGATCGGGGCCGGTAGCTGCAGCTGTAGTTCCCTCCATGCTGCCGGCCCACGGTGGGGATGCGGAACTCGACCCTGTCCCCAGCAGGGTCCATGTGTCGCTGCGGGTTCAGGTCTCCAGCCTTGTGCAGGAAGAACGTCACATTCCGGCGCTGCCCCTGACACCGGATGGTGACGTCTGCCCCTGGGGTGGTGACCGAAGTGAGGCTCAGCGAGATGGAGGGTCTGGGTAAGCTGGGATCTGCGCACAGGAGACAGGCTGTGAGAGCGAGATCCGGGCACCCACCCAGCCCCGGCCTCCCCCAGCCATGGGCAGATCCAGGGGCCCCCGGGCAGAGATTCTCTCCCACATCCCAGAGTTCCCCCCACCCAGAATCCCGGCCCTGCGAGCTGGGCTCCCAGCCCCACAGACACCGAGCCGCGGCTCCCTAGTTCTTGGGTCCTCATATGCCCGTGTGTGGCCCCCGCCTCATTCACTGCGTCCGGCCTACTCTGAACACAGAACGACTGAGCTGTTCTCTGGGGCAGCGCACGGCCGGAGAGCAGCAGCTGAGCTGACCCCGAGCAAAGCAGGGGCGATGCTGGGGGCGGAGGGCAGCACCGGGAGGCATCAGCAGGTGTAGCTGTTGCGGATTGTGGGGGAGTTAGAGCCCTGCACCCCTGGCTTCCTGCTTTTCACCAGGACTCTCAGCCAGCCAGTAA